GCTCCTTTGACCAACTGGAGTTCCTGGAGAGTTTGCTTTTGGACACTTCCCTATTGAACTCAGAGATTTTTTTCTTGGTTTATTCCAACATTCAGAGCTAGAAGAGTCTAGCCACACATGACCATGAGCTCCATGTGAACAGGGATTGTGGCTTTCCTGTTCATTGCTGTATCCCCTGCCCCTAAAATTGTGCTTGGCTCCTATTAGAGGCTCTGTAAATATTTGTTGAATGACTGAGTGAACCACCATATCATGCCTAGGGGACACACTGGAGCATATTGGTTATAAACATGAGCTCCAGTGTCAGACTGCCCGAATTCAAATGCTGACTCTGCCACTTACTACTTTGTGACCCTAGACCAGTTACTTCCTCCACATTTTATAGATGAGGAAGGTAAGATGCAAAGACTGAAGAGCCGGGAAAAATTCACACAGCTAGGAAGTAGTTTGGTTAACCTACCTGTAAATTAGGGGACAAATAGTGGCATCTGTGTTATAGGTTTATTGTGGGGAATAAATAAGGAGATACATGTATTTATAGCAGTGCCTGGCTCATAGTAAGTGCACTAGAATTGATAGCTATTGTGGATAAAATGAGAGTTTCTGTGGCCAGGATTCTCACCTGGCCCTGGTTGACTGGCTCACTGCACACCTGTGGGCAATACACGGCTGTTGACTCTGTATAAATAGCTCGGCCCAGTGCTCTGGGCGTGATACGGTGGCAGGGCTGTAAGGCTGCAGGAAAGCAGAGGCTGGAGTGGTGGCAGCGCCAAGGACAGAGGCCCACAGGATGGCTGTGCGGGACAATGGTGCAGAGAGGCCCAGAGGACGACTGTGTGGGACGGCTGTGCAGGCAGAGAGACCCAGAAGATGGCTGTGTGAACAGAGGGACCCGGAGGCAAGGGGAGAGACCAGCTTGCTGCGTACAGACTCGCTCTGAGTGAACGGGATTTTAGTGACTGACCTGCCACCTGGAAATAAAGTTGGGTATCACCCTTTCACCCCAAGAACGTTTTACTGTCAATTTCTTTGATCACATTGAATCCATAGCGAACTTGCCCAGGGCTGAAACCCATTGGTAAGACACTATTATTACTACTCCAGCCTCCTCATTTTATGGGGTGCCCAAAGAGGAGAAAGGGCTCGGCTAAGGTCGCACAGTCATTTAATGATAACCTGGCTGGGACTGCATTTCATAACTTGCAAGGACTTAACTGCACATGGTGCCAGAGGATGAGGAAAAGGGCTAAGCTTTTCTTGATTACAGTGGTTTTTAACTTAGAGTAGAGAGGTCAACTTGGACTATCCCAGGGAGGATAGTTTGAAAAAGCATATTTCTTACTACATATTTTAAATTGCAATTCTTTTTTAAAAACCTAGTGCTTCCAGAATGCTGTCTACATTAAGCAAAGTGAGATAGAATCCTCTTGAGTGGTGGTGATGACTTAAAAAGGGTTAAGAAACCCTGCTGTCCAGTATGAGGAGGGAGGAAGAAAGAGAAATTGACCTCTTGGGACTCCTCAGGTTTCCTGCTGAAATCTAATTGCCAAGTCCCCACCTTCCTGCAGGCTTGTGGAATCTGCTGACCTGATTTGAGTTAGGCCACATGTGCGCCACCCTCCCCACCCCATCCCACCCTGAATACTGGGCCCAGGGCAGCATGGGAGAGGACAGACAGCATCCTAGGCTCAGGCTGGGCCTTTGCCAGCCATTGAGAGAGACCTTCCGCACCCCCCGGGCTCCACATTGATGGAAAACTGGAACTAGAGCACTCGATAGCCATGGGACAAGCTTGCTTGATTTTCTGCCTTCTTCCCATGTTGCATTTATGATGATTCCCTAGACCCCCTGAGGGTTCTTTTCTTCCAGACATTCATCATTGGGCATCTAATTTCCACAGCCTTTTGTGCTGGCAGGCATTCGGGTGGTCATTTCCCCTGCTGCTCCTCCCTGCTGCCCTGCCCTGCCCAGGCCATATCTCCAGCTGTGCAAACAGGGCAGCCCTCCCTCTGTGTGAGCCTCATGCTAGGCACTCTGTGGAGAACAGGAAGATGCCCTGTTCTCTGCTCCCTAAGAACCCTTAGGATCAGGGAGCCAGGGAGCCTGTTCTAGGTGCTGGGGAGCAGGGACCCCTGCTGTGAAGGAACTGTGGGGCATTCAGCATAGAGCTCACGGAACAGAAGAGGGGTGGAGGGCAGGTGTACCCGGAAAATTCATTAGGCACATGCAGAGGGGAGATCAGATGTAGCTTGAACCTCAGCGCCCAGAGGGCAGGCTAGTTGGAGTGTGCCCCCACCTCAGAGGCGCTGGCTACATTTACAGTTGAGCTGCATCCCACCTTGGGCTGGGAGGGTGTGATACATTCCAATGCTTGGCCAAGTCTGCCACCTCCCACTGCAAAGGCCTCACCTCACCAAATTTTTCTTGGGACCTGAACACTTCCTGTTCCTTTAGGGAGGGGAAAAAGGTGCCTCTTTGGGAGAATCTTTGCTGCTAATAGGTATAGCAGACCCTGACTGGAAACATGATCAGTGAGAGGAACCATTTTCCTGCACCCTGGCAATCAACTGCATTAGTCAGACCTGGCTATGAAATTGGGCTGGTGTCCGGGAGGACCAAGCTGAATTGAATGTTCTCCTTGTTCTCTCCCTCTCACCAGTCTCTCCGTACACAGAAAACTCTCATCATAGACAGATATTTTAAAAAGCACCTCCTGCATTGGTAGCTCTTTATTCAAGATGAAAGAGGCATGCAAGATGCAAAACTAGACACACCCAGAGAGTGGAGGGCAGGCAGACCATTTGCAGTTCAGCATTGTGTGGCTCTAGCCCTGGCCTTGGACTGCCTTGAGGATATGTGCTGTCAGTCACAAGCAGGGATTTACTGAGCCAGGATTTGCCCAGTGCAAACCCACTCCCAACTGTGAAGACAAGTTAACACTGACATCTCAGGGCTTGAGAGGGGAGGAGGATAGCAGGATAGCAGGATAGCAGGGTAGTCTAGGTATTCAAAGGGTAATCCAGGGTCATTAGCTACTAACCCTTTTATTCCTGGTATTCCTGGATAGCTTGGTGGTATGGTTGGGGTCCCAAATACAGTCTGAATGCATGGAGATAATAAGCAGCTGTAGTGCCCAGTATGTGGCCTCATATCAGATTCCTGCCGAACTCCTGTGCCACTAGTTTCTCTCCAGTGTCCTCATTCCCTGAAGTCTCCTTGGTGTCTGGCGGTGATCCCACATAGCCCTTCCCCTACTCATCTCCCTAGTGTGAAAGTCAGGACTTTTTGAAATTCCAAAGGTTTAATTTATTAGTATCCTGTAACCTGTTAGGTAAACAAATGAATGACTAGTTTGTTTGAAATGTAAGGAGAAGAATAATTTGTGGCCTGCTAACTTCCCTCCCCTTTAACTAAAATGATTGTCACCACTAGGATATATATGCAGGCCTCTGCAGAGTGCTGTCTGGGCCTAGCAGGGAGAAGGGGTGGTGATGGAGAGGCGGGATATATATATATACACATACATATATATATGTATTTATATATATATATTCTTTTTTTATTAAAGTATCATTGATATATAATCGTATGAAGGTTGCACATGAACAACATTGTGATTTCAACATTCTCACACATTATCCAAGTCCCCCTCCACACCCCATGTGGTCACTGTCCATCAGTGCAGTAAGATGCTATAGAGTCATTACTTGTCTTCTCCATGCTATACTGCCTTCCCCGTGAGCCACCCACATTATGTGTGCTAATCATAATGCCCCTTAATTCCCCTCTCCCTCCCTCCCCACTCACCCTTCCCAACCTGTTCCCTTTGGTAACCACTAGTCCCTCTTGGAGTCTGTGAGTCTGCTGCTGTTTTGTTCCTTCAGTTTTTGCTTTGTTGTTATACTCCACAAATGAGGGAAATCATTTGATATTTGTCTTTCTCCACCTGGCTTATTTCACTGAGCATAATATCCTCTAGCTCCACCCATGTTGTTGCAAATGGTAGGATTTGTTGCCTTCTTATGGCTGAATAATATTCCATTGTGTATATGTACCACATCTTCTTTATCCATTCATTTACTAATGGACACTTGGGTTGCTTCCATATCTTGGTTATTGGAAATAGTGCTGCAATAAACATAGGGGTGCATATGTCTTTTTGAATCAGGGATCTTGTTTTCTTAGGGTAAATTCCTAGGAGTGGAATTCCAGGGTCAAATGGTTATTTCTGTTTTTAGTTTTTTGAGGAACCTCCATATTGCTTTCCACAATGGTTGAACTACATTCTCACCAACAGTGTAGGAGGGGATATTTATTTGACAAGAGACTGCTGTCTCTTTTAAAATATAAAATAGTCCTTTAGTTTTTTTTAAATTAGGGTATCATTGATATACAATCTTATGAAGGTTTCACATGAGCAACATTGTGGTTTCAACATTCACCCATATTATCAAGTCCCCCCCGACCCCATTGCAGTCACTGTCTATTAGCATAGTAAGATGAATAGCCCTTTAATTTTTATTATAAAATCTATACATGTTCCTAATAGAAAACTTGGAAAATAGAGAAAAGTATAAAAAAAGAAATGAAACCCACACATAACCCCACCACCCAGAGATAACCATATTGTATTTCTTTCCAATGTTTTTCTAGGCATAACTCTACCTCTCCATCCCTGCCCAAAATATAGCTTCTTATTCTGACTATAAAAGCAATGTGTACTCGAAAGTTTTCAAGTATCACAAAAAAATATGAAGAATAAAAGGAAAGTGACCCCAATTCCACTCTCCTGAAAGGACTATACTAACATGTTGGTGCAGTTCCTTTCAGTGTCTTTCACTTAACTGAAATCAAATAGTCCGGAAAGTTCTATGTGGTCTTCACTTGGTGTCCTATCATATACATTTAACCATGTCAATAGATACACATCCAAAATGCACTGTGTAATGGCTTCATGATCATTGTGTGAATGGACCATAATTTATCCTTTTGCTTTTCAGGAGAGACAGGTTTGGGCAAGTCCACCCTCATGGACACCCTGTTCAACACCAAGTTTGAGGGGGAGCCAGCCGCCCATACACAGCCGGGTGTCCAACTCCAGTCTAGTACCTATGACCTCCAAGAGAGCAACGTGGGGCTAAAGCTCACAGTTGTTAGCACAGTGGGCTTTGGAGACCAAATCAACAAGGAGGACAGGTAAGGAAGGTGGTGGGATGGAGAGGCTGGTGGGAGACCACAAGGAGGAGCTCCCCCTGGGGTGCTGCCTAGACCTCCTCCCAGAATGGCGTGGGCAGGAAGCAGACACCTGACAAGTGCCACCTCCACCCAGGGTGTCTGTCTGCATCCACTGTTCTATTCCACACACTTAGCCCAAAGAAGGGTGTCTTTCCAATACACATGGGTGAGACATTTCCAGTACACATTCGGCAGACATTTATTGAGCTCCTACCTTGTGCCAGGTACTGCCCTGCTCTGATAATTGAAAAAGGAATGACTTTGACTCTGCCCTTGAGGCACTCATGGGGAAGACTGGCTTTGAACAAGTAAGATGCATTGAGTGTGATATGCTCTGTAAAGGACGGTACAAAGTGGTAAAAGGCAGGTTACAATGAGAACATGGAAAGAATAGTCAGGTCCATGTGTGGAGGTAAGGGAGGCCTTCACAGAGGAGGCACCTCTGAGCTGACCCATGAAGGATAAACTATTTTGCCAGACAAGGGAATGGAGGGAACAGCACTCCAAGAAGGGGTAACTGCTCGTACAAAGGCAGAGGTGTGGAAGATTGTGGCAGGTTCTAGGGAACCGCAGCTTGCTCTGTTTGGCTAGACCAGAGGTAGAGTTATTGGGAAGCTAATGAAGTTTTTAAGCTTCAGGGCCCTTACTTGCACATGCCCCTTCCAGGGCCTTGTAACTAATTTTTAGTCATAATGTTTTATCTTTCTTGGCAGTCCCTTCAAATTGAATAAGCTTAAGGCCCACAATACTGGTTCTGTCCCTGGGCTAGTGTGTGGTGTGAGCTAGGGGAAAAGTAGGGGGAGATGAGCCTGGAGAGGTAAGCAGGAGCCAGATCATGGAGGGATTTATAGCGTGGGCATATATGGAGCCATTGAAAGGTTTTATGAAGTAAAATGGCATATAGTCTGGTTGGCCTTTAAAGAAGGTCCTTTGGGAGACTATGGAGATAGACTGGAGGGCTGGAAGACCAATTAATAGGACCAATTAGATTGAGGCCTGAGGTAAAACAGGTGCTGAGGGAAGAGGAGATAGATTTGGTAAATATTGAATAGGTAAAATTCACAGGACTTAGTAGAGACTTGGTACGGGGTTGTGAAGGCAAAAGAAGAATCTAGAATAAAGCTTGGATTTCTTTGGAGAGTGAACAAATGGTGGTGGCATTCAGTAAGAGAGGTAAAATAACAGGACCAGGTTTTAAAAGAACCAACTCTGTTTTAGACTTACTGAGTTTGAGCTGTCTGTGGACTATCCAGAGACATGATGACCTTCAGTGGTAGGTAGCTGAATATACAGGGTTAGTGAGTAAAAATACACAATGTATCAGAGTTGAGCAAGATGAACCCTGGGCTATAGACAGAACCCTTGGGATGTTAAGTCAGCAGGTGGAGTAAGACATCCTGAAAAGGGGCTAAGCAGGAATAAGCTGAGAGGTGGGGAGGAGAGACTGGTAGGGGTGGGGGTGGAGTTGAGTGGTGCCTGAGTGAGGCCTGGGTGAGGCTCAGAGATGATGTAATGAGGGCTGGGGTCAGGGAGGGAGCAGGGGTCAGGCACCGTCTGAATTTAACTAGAAGTCACCTGGTTATCACACCTGTTCATCTCAGAAAAGGCCATTCATCATTTTGAGCAAAGAGTCTGCTCATCCTTTGCAGATTGTCTTCCTCTTTAAATGAACTATCATAAATTCTCCTATTTCTCCCTTGAAGTTACAACAGCCTTACTCATTTCCTTATAATTCCTTATAATGAATATTTAGCATTGTAATAACTGAACTGAATTTTGTTTTCTATTTGAAATTCTAGATAAAGGACACCTGCTTTTTAGGTTTGCTTATTGTGCTGATCTTGTTTGGTTCAGGATAAATTAGACCCTGGGGAAAGGGATTATTTGTGTCACAGTATGAGAGCTTAATCTCAGTTACAGATTGCTCAGGATCTCTACTGAATTTTTTACAGTTCTTAGTAACATACATTCAACATATCTAACATTGGAAAATGCCTTGGGAGGACTGAACTGATATTGCCCCTTAGAGGCTAATCTACTTCTATTATATTTTTAATATCCTTATTGTTTTCTTTGATTATAAATACAATACATACTCATACAAAATCAAATAACACAAACTTGAGTAAGTAGAAATGAAAAGCCTTCCTGAAATTTGTAATAAAAAGCAGTGTTTTCTCCAATACTGACAGAGCCATTTGGGCATAGACATGTCAGTGCAGCCGCATTGAAGGAGAGCATCAGAATGCCCTGCTGTACACAGGCTGCATGGGGAGACTCAGAAGAGCAGTGACTAAGGCGGTATCATGGGAAAAGCCACCGTTTAAAACATGCTGGAGCAGAAGGAACTCACAAGGGAGACTGAGAAGGACAGGCCAGAAAGTGGCGTGCTTGGGAAACTGGACTCTGGGCTCAGACAGACCTGGATTCAAAGCCCATCTTGCCACTTATTGGCTGAGGGATCTTGGGGCTGGTCTGGCCATTGTGGTTATTATGATTGTGCGTTGCCCTCAGCAGTAACCATCAGGAAACTGGGGAAGAAAAACGTTTATTATTCACTGGTCCTGAAATGTACGTGGCACACCTGGGACCATGCAGTGAGGTCCAGAGTGGAGAGGTGGTGGTAGAGAAAGAGAGTGCCAGCACCTGGGGGTCAGCTTTTGTCAGGGTCAAGGGTGTGGCCTTGGGTTTCACAGGCTTACTCTTTACTGGTGAATTTAAAACCTAAGAGTGGGAATTTAAAGTGTGGGAAGAGAAAAAACAAATGGCCCAAATGGTCAGTTATGGAAATCAACCAAGACTTCTAAAACAAAAGGAGGGAGGCAGCTGTTTATCTTTTTGTGGCTGGGAATGTGTTTATTGAGAGAGCCCTTTTGAAGTGGATGCCTTCCCAATCAAAACTTAAGTCAGGCATTTGCATCACAAAAAAGAAAAACCAACTTCCAGGGCTTACACTAGGAGACGCTTCATTCTCTGTGCCTCCGTTTTCTCATCTGTAAAGTGGGGATGATGATAATACTAACATTTAATCCTAGAAGGTTGTGGTGAGGCATACCTGATGGTATGGCATATGAAATGCTTAACCAGGCACAGAGTCACTAATGAACAGAAGATACTGCTATGATCATGACTTTTCTTGATAGAAGAATCAAGGGAGAGTTGTACCATGCAGCATATGCAAGGGAATAATAAATGGTGTGCAGGAATATAACTGAAAAATATCCAGTGGATTTGGCAATATGAAGGTCATTAATATATTTAGGAATAATAATTCTAGGGAACCTGAATTTTGCTAGATTGCTATGGATGGATGGATGATAAGGAAGTAAAGGCATCAGAATAGCAAAAAGAACAATAGAACAGAAAAGTGAGTTCAAGATCAAATCCATGTTTACATTAGAATTTAGCATATATAAGTCAGCAGGGAAAGAATGGACTGTTCGAGAAAATGTGGTGGGAAAATAGGCCATCCATCAGGAAAAAATAAAATGAGACCCTCCCACACAAACACCATTCACAAAAATAGATTCTGGTTGAATTAAAAACAAATTCTAAAAATATGAGGAGAAAGCATAGGAGAATATTTTTATAACTTTGTGGGTAGAGAAGGCTTTTCTAATTGTGACACAAAATCCAAAAGCCATAGAGGAAAAGACCGACAGATTTAAATTCATTAAAAAATTTAAAAACCCTTTGTATATCAAAAGATACCACAAACAAAAGTAAAAACAAAGTGCAGATGGGGAAGAAATATTTGCAACCTATACAACAAAGGAATTTTCTAAAATGTAAAAAGAGCTGCTACAATTCCATGAGAAATGAACAGGCAATTGACAGAAGGGGAAATATAAATGGCTGATTAACATATGAAACGATGCTCATTTCAACTTAACCAGTGATTAGGGAAATGCAAAATGAAACAAGGAAGTATTTTTTTAATCTTATCAGATTTGCAAAATAAAAGATAAAAATATAGTATCTACCACCACCAGGTAATTTCATTCATGTTACCGTGAGTAAAATTTAATAGCGATGTTTTTAGAGGGCAAATTTGGTGGCATCCAAATTTAAAATGCGAATACCTTATGATCCAGCCATTCCACTTGTAGGTGTACAGCTTAGAGAAAAGAGTTGTGCATGCTCATGCAAAGCATACAAAAAGGATGGTCACTGCAGCATGGTTATGGAATGAAAACTTCATAACTGTAAATTTCCGCCAGTAGAGCCATTAAATGAGCTATGGTACAACCATACCATGGAATTGTATTTGGCAGTTTAAAAGAATGAGGTAGATTGATACTCACGTGGACATGTTGCTAAGTGAAAAAACAAAGTGGCAGAATGATACGTAGATCGTGATGCCATGTGTGTAAATCCAACTCTTCCTAAGAAAACACTGAACATTCCTGCCCTTCCTCCCTCATGTATATAAAATGCACAGAAAAGGGTCTGTCAAGGATAATCAAGAAACTGAAGATAGTATAGTACTTACCTCAGAGGAGGGGAGAATAAGTACATGTATTGTTCACATAATTTAATAAGAATGAAGTTTTTAAAAAGGAAGCTGATAAAGTGGGTGTAGTGTTCATTTAAAAAACTTTTCTGAGTTGGGGAAAAGAAATGAAGCAGTGTTTGTCTAGAGGGAGGCAAGGAGGTCAGAGGGTATTTTTGAGGATGGGAAAGATGAGGGCTTGAATAGGAGCAGAAGTTTAAGGACAGGAAGGGGCAGATGTGAAAGAATTCATAAGACTTAGTAACCAAATTGATATAGGGGATCTAGTACAGTTTGTCAAATACTAAATGGCAACTGTGTGCCAGATACAGTGTGAGGTGCCAGGGATACTAAGAAATAAGACACAGTCTTTTAGTTAAGGAGCTCACAGTTGAATGGAGGGGACAGATATAGATTTGTCCTACATAGTGTGGTAAGGACAATAACAAAGGCATGTGGAATAGCACTT